GAAGAAGGTCAGAATGTTGAAGCCAAGAAAGTGCTTCTTTGGGATAGGAAGACTGAGGGGGGATTTCCCGGTTCGTGATCTCAGCGCAAGCTTGTTAGTGGTAGAGAGTGGCTGACGTGTCGCAGAAACGAAAGTATTGAAGCAGTTGGTGCGAGATCACATCGATCCATCACGAGACTTGGGTCATTCCGACAAGCATGGAAAGAAGAAGGAAGACAAGGCAGAAGACACAAAGCAAGAGACAGAGGTGAATCAAGAGCAGGGCCAAGCGAGCGAGAGCGGACAGGTCAAGAGAAATCCAGATGGCACTATTTGTGAAGACTGTAAATAAGTTTGACGGGGTTTTCATTTGCTACACAGTAGACCGAAGTTCGCAAGACAGCCCATTTCACCGTACATGCTCCAGCTATATGCAGGAGTGCCATGTAACGACAACGGATGCGAGCGCTCAGATCCACCCCTGCACCGTATTGGTGCGCATGTAAAGAAGCAAAAAGACGGTGTGCCCCTGTGCACTATCTTTGGAGTCGTGGCTTACAGTAGCAACACCAGGGTCCACTACCGTGGCTCGAGCTCGCATTGCTCATGCTTACTACAGACCACGCTTGTCGACCTTGTCGAGGCGCTTCATGAGGCGAATGTCCATACGGTGCATGTTCTTGCGCATGTGCTCCAGCTCGCTACGCAGTTTCTCGGTCTGGCGGTTAGCGTCCGCCATGATCTCTGGAACGCAGGCATGATCGTTCCTTGTCGTGCAACCCATTCCTGGTTTCGGCGTTGATGAAAAGTAGGTACCCTCCTCGTTGGGAACGCCCAGTGCTTCAACTAGATTGTCGATTCGGAGACCGTGAGATTCAGAGGCGAGTTCGAGCTCCTTGTAGTGCTGAGCTAGCTCGTCAATTTTGATGGAGTAGAGCTCGCCGGTGAGGTCGGTCAAAGCTTGCGCACGCTGGACAAGTGAAAGGACCTGATAGTGCGTGCCGTTGGTGTCGGTCGGGAGTGCGAGACTAAAGCCATCGGTGCCGTACATGCGCGCTGCTGCGAGAGCAATGACAGCACTCGTCACTGCTCCGAGCACTACTTTGGCAATAGTCCACCAGGAGCTCTCGCGTGAGGCGCTCAAGCGGGCCTCGCTCTCTGCGATCAGCTTTTGGATGATGGGAACATCGTGGCTATGACTGGTCTCATCGACGTGCAGCTTGTTGCGGAGCAAATCGAGAGCCGCATACACGCTATAGGTTGCCTTGGATCCATGCTTGAGAAGCTTCCTGAGCTCTTCCGTAATCTTAGACTCGGCGTCAATCGATACGTTGGTCTCCTCGATGAAGTGGGTAAATTGTTCGTTCATCACACCCATGCAGAATACAGCGGCCTTGCTGACAGTGAGTGACATCTCGGTAGCCCGACTGAGATATGTCTTGACGAAGCTAGCAGGAAGATGAACATCATCAAACTTGGCGCCTGCTTTATCAAGATTGGCAACCGCACGATCGATGCCGCGGTAGCCTTCGAATCTGGCCCACTGGTGGATCGGCTTGCAGTCTTGGTTCTCGGTCTTGACATATTCACGAAGCTGAAGCATGGCCGTTTCCACTCCATTCATAGAGCCGAGGATGCTATCCGCGACCAGACAGAGTTGCTGAGGCTAATACAGGGTTACTCAGGTACCACGCATGCAGAACAATGGATACTTACTGTGACCGACGAAGCAGGAACCTCCACGCTCACCTCATCCAGGCTGATCCTCTCATTGTGGGATGCGATCGCATCATCGATCATAGCGCTTGTTTCTTGCTCCTTGTCAGACGCATCCTCCTTGCGACCAGCCCCGTCGGCTATGGATTCATCGCCTTCCACTTGCTCCTTGTCATCTGTCGGTTCTGTGTCGGGAAGGTGCAACGAGCTGTCGCTTGTGTCGTCCTTATCCACACTCCGCGCTATGCTCGCCTCGCTGCTAATGCTGCCGGTGCTACTCATGTTGGTGATAGTTCGAACGACTGGGAGGAAACCGTGAGAGTGTTTGAGTTGAGGCTGATGTGAAATAGTGATTGTCAAAGTCTGAATTATCGATACAGGTGATGTGTCGACTGCTGGGGGAGAGTAGAGTCGTGGTGAGCGTGATTTGCGCTCTGCGATGATTGGACAAGCGCGCTCACTTTACTAGCGTGGTTTCCTGTTTGAGTTGTATGGAGGAAAGCGCAAGGCAACCGCCCTGGAAAGGACGAGTGAGGGTGAAACCATTGTAAAGAGCAAACAAAATGTCGAAATGGAAATATTAAGAAAGACGTTGCACTTAAAGGAAGTGATCGAAGAAAATTCAGAGAGGAGGCTGTCGAGATGGAAGCTGGCAGTGAGAAGTGCGAGCCCGCAGCTCCGAGTGTGACGCCTGACACAGCAACTGGGCAAGACGTTGAGGTTAACAAGCTTTACTGTCTCAGAGCAGCCTACTCGTTGCAAAGTGAGGCACCACAGATACCTCCATGGTGCTGCGAAAGTCGAAGAAGCTGCTTGTTACCACAACATCCAGGCCTAGAGATGAGTGAGACAGTCTAACGAAGCAAACGACCAAATACTGTTCACATTAAGATGATAGCTCCGGATTCCTGTCAACAAAGCGTTCAAAGATATGATGCGCTCCACCTGCAGCAGTAATGCATAATGCGGTGTGCTTCATGAAGATTGCATCGTGTCCACAGAAGCGGGATGCTCACTGATGGGGGAAAAGGACGCGCGGTTGCGATTGTACATATGCAGTCAAGGGTCACCTGCATACTCCATCTGGTCGCATGGTCATCGATCGTCTGGTCGTACACCCATAACTTAAAGCCGGGGAATAAGCTGGTGGCCGTGGTAGCATATGCAATGCAAAGTGCTTATTTGTAATGCATGAGTCCTGCGTATCAAAGCAAACATATTCCCTAGCTACAGCAATGCTGCACAATGTAATCTGCTGGCCCAAGACTTGTGGACCTCGAGATAATGTCCGAGCAGATTCGTGTGGTAGTATGCCTTGGACGAGACTGTATGGCGGGAAGACTGTCTCGGGTGGCCTGGGTGTTGTTGCCGCATGCCGTGCGTTCGGGACGTTTTGAAGGCGTCAAGCAATGCGTACGTGCAGTGGTCAGAGCCTTAGGACTAGGTTCTCATACATGGCGGTGGCACGACCGTTAGCGTGATGGGTCAAGATGAGCAAGCCTCCAGCGCAGATGCTGATGCCGTGCTCAAGATCCTATGTTTCATCATCAGCAGCATACGAGCTATGATTACAAAACCTGCGGTGTGGATTCTGTATGTGTTTGCTGTACTTGATAGAGTTTCCGTGACCAAAAAAGAAATGTGGTTAAGCGGGGGACAGGCCAGCGGCCATCGTCACCGAGCCACTCGAGCATCTTCAAGACGATGTCAATAGAGATAACGCGGGACGTCGATGGGCAGGCGGCTGGTGCGATCGGAGGCCTCTGGCTGCGGATTGAGTTGTGATGCGTGGACGAAGGATGCCAGCTCCAAGCGCAGTGAGGAGAGCCGAGTACCCTTGGGCGACGATCATGGCGTACGCCACGACTTCCCCACCCAACCTCTCGACGCGACGTGTCATTCGTCGCGCTTCGCATGATAGCATGAACGACTCTGCTGTACGTGTCGAACGCGATATCTGATCCCCGCGAAGTCCGACATTACGCATCCATGTTGACCGATCGCTCCGACGATGGAGTCGGCGATAGGTGAGGTTTCCTTGCGATGCTACAGGAACGCCACCCCTCAGTTGGCGAGATCGTCAAATTGCCCAGTACCGCCCGGCACCGTGCCATCCGAGCACTCTTCCCAGATCCCCAGAAACGTCTAATTCCCCGCATATGCTCTACTGTACTGAGGCTTGTGAGATCTGGGCTGAACACGTCTCAGCTCCGTGCATTGGCATCCTGAGGCTGAGCGCGCTGAATGCAAATTCGTCGGTCTCGAACACAACTTATCACGACGACTGCAGTGACTACATGATCTGGATCGAAAGACAAATGCTTGACAGCTAGATATCTGACGCTAGGAAAGCAGCCCGCGCAAGCCACGAGCGGTCGATCCCCCATTTGGGCAAGATCGCCCCATCAAGACGCTCAATCGGGCTCGCAGGACGCAGCCTCGCCAACCAAAAGACGCCATCATGAGCCGGACGGCGACGCGTCCCAGCCGTCACGATAGCTGAGGGCGCGACAAGGGTTTGTCGACATACAATAGTTGCTTTGTCCCACGCCCGGCTGCGACAGACTTCTGCTTAGTTTCGACTCCATCTCGGCAGACTAGGCATCCCTGCCGCCGCTCGTTGAGCAACTCAATCTGTGGTACTACACATGCACACTCCTATTTAGATCAGCATGGCTTCGGAAGCGATCCCGTCTTGTCAGGCTAGCATTGGGGAAGAGCCTCATGGATATCTAATCCCCGCCCGCACATCGTCGCTTTCTCGTACCCTTTGTTTCGATGACCCTAGGACCTTGAATCAGGTAGTCTCCGCGGCATCGACAAGTGGATCTACACTACCTCACCATACCAGCCCACCTACAGCCGCACGTCATAGCTTCGCGGTTGGCGATCGCGTTGCCTCTACATTAGTAGAAGATAGCACCGGCAAGGGACCTCTCAGGGCTACCGAAACGCGACCAAGGCCCGCCAGCTGCCTTGTTACACCTTCAAAGCCGATGCATCCAACCAAAGTACAACGCTGGTCAGGCTTGACCCGTACTGTGAGCGATTGGGATCATGGACTACGCAGGGTATGTACGAAGCTTTATGTGGAAGCCAAGCTAATAAGCCGGAAGGATCCAGAGTTGTGGTATGAGGAAGGAGACTGCCTCGTACATCTACACGCGAAAGGGGTTTCGCGTCGTGGCCCGTCCTTCTGCATTCCGTTTAGACTTCTACGACAGAAGAAGTGCGAGGCGATGCTCCAGCTATGTGATGCGCAGATCGCGTCTGCTCCGGGATCCGCTTTCCAGCACCTGAGGCGAATGCCCAGCTCCCTTACCAACGCCAATGGCGAACATAGCATCGTCGAGCTCTTCATCCCGGTCCCAGAGGAATTATCACGAGAGAATTCATTCAGACGGCACATTGCGACTCGCAACTTCTTCGCCTTCCTTCTGGGTAAACCACTCGTAGGCGATCATATGGGCCAAGCATTCGTAGACGTCCAGGAACGTTTACACCACTTCCGTCCAAGTCATCCAAACAACCACCAAGACTTTCTGGACTACGCTGAGAACCAAGGGTACCGGGATCTGGTGGAGTGCACGGACTATGCTCTTGCAAGCCTCTACTACGCAGAGCATTTCAAACTTAGAGACATCTGGGTCGATGCATTTGCCCATTGCGTCGGTATGAGCGACAGCTTAGTTCTCAGTCCGGAATACGTTGTATGAAACTCGTCAACTGCTTCAGGCCGCTATACTAACATGTTGTAGCTGACTTCGAAGCTCACCAAAGCATTGATCACCCGCGCACATCTCGAAGTTGACGGCCATCTCGGGCGCGTATCGACCGCACTGAGCAGGTTTCTACAGGAAGACCTCTCGCCGACTCACCTCGGATTGACGGACGGCGCCAGGAGCCATCTCGACCGGTTCCGCCGCTTCTTGCATACCTTCTACGTGGACAAATTTGGCTACTGGCCACCACCACGGGGTGCCGCTTTCCCGAAAGCTCTGTACAAGTCTATGTACTATGACTTCCAGAACCTGTACGACTACCTCGTAGACACCGACTCGACTGCCGATATCTCCTCCCAAAGACCAGCTAGCGGTGGTATCTGTGTCTTGCAGAACATTGCAACGTTCGATCAACGACATGGCTTCAAGTCTCAGCCGCACCCGTTACCTCTCCTACCAACATACACTTCGCCACTGAAGAGAACAAATTCCCAGAAAACGAACTCTCAAAAGGCCTTGAGACAACTGGTCCTGGCCTCGCAGTATAACAAATCGCATGTACAGGATACCATGCATGGTGCTCTAGCAGCGGCAACGAACGTTCTGGAGCCCAGTGCGATGGAGTCCAACATCGTGCAGGCATATATCCACTTTGAGAAGGCGCATGCTACCAGCCCCAGTCAACGCCAGGGTAAGGTATCAGCAACAGATGCGCGTAAAGTCAGGTGGCTCTTGATCTATGGCACTCTGCAGTATCTTGTGTCCGCTCTGAGGGCGCCAAAAGAAGTTCGCGATACTGAAAGCCCGGAGTACGCTTTGTGCTACGTTGCGGAGCCCACCTCGACTACCAATAGCGTTGCTACGACTCCTTTGGCGTCACCTCCAGTTAAGGCGCCAGTGGCCATCGACGAAGGTCTTGATGAATCTCAAAGCAGTCTATATTCGATAGAGCCAGACTGCCAGAGGGAAGATTACTTTACGCCGCAAAACATGAGTCGACGTGGATCCATGGAGGTTGCGCCCCTTAGGATATCCCAACTACCTCGTTCATCCTCTGTGCGTTCTCTAGCGCGACGGTCACTTTCTACTCGAGGCTCGCGGAGCAATAGCCTCACAATGAAGACTACACAGAAGCCTGCTGGTGTTGTTCAGGAAACTAGCGACGGGTCGAAAGACTCTGTCCCATCCTCGCAGGATCACGCTCGCCAAACCTCTTCTGTTTATTCCGAGCATTCCACGGCAGTCACTGCAGAGAGCGGGGCTGAACTGGATACCTCCTGGCTCCGATCACGAACACCCTCAGTCACTCGTAGCAGGCAGGGTTCCACAGCAAGCACGGCCGCACGTCCCCGAACACCCCTACTCGATTCTGTTCAGCTCGAGCGTGCCACATATCCACTCTACTTGACGCGCACTGGCGAGCCTCCTAGCCGTTCAGACAGTACTAGCTCTACAGCAAGCTCCCTATGGAGCGAAGGCGCGAGTGTGGTCTCATCTAAGTCCAGCGCATCTGCGGATAGCCCTACTCGTAAGGTTAGCGCTGCAGAAGAGAGTGGGCTTCTGGGTGGACTTGTCTCTTTTGAGTCACCTGGCACTATGTCACTCACAGCACAAAGCCATATACATCCTCTCCTACGACAACAGTCCCCTAAAGCCGAGTTTGAGTTTGGTTTCGAGAAGGACAAGTCAGAAGTAACTCATGATGTCCATGAGCTCTCCCAAGTCGACTCGACCATTGGCATGGCTGTCTCCACTCCGCCGTCGCCCACCCGACCCCGTATGAACCTGTTTCCCGACACACGACCCACTTTCACTGCCGAAGAGGCACGCGCTCTCATAGCCGACAAGAGGCCCAATCTTCCGTATCGAAACAGATCCAAATCTACCTCCTCAGTCTTGGATAATACCACATCGCCGGCGAAAGATTCAAGGTTCTCCACGCCTGTGAGCACGACACCCACCGGCTACTGGGAGCAATACAAAGCTACTCTCACACAACAAAAAGCACGATCCAATCCTGGATCACCGACAGGCACTACTTCGCCATCCATGGCCAAGATTCCGACCGCTTTCAAAGCGCCCTTCTCGCGACTCAGACCCCGCAATGAGGAAGACCGCGGCGTCAAGACAGAGCGCCGATTGTCAACTCTTTGGCGACACTAAATGCAGCGCAACTTTCACGCTCTTCTCATCTTCTGTGCTTTACTTCCTTTGCTGTTAGCGAGCTTCATGCATGGTGTTCCGGCGTTCAAAAAGGTCGCAACAAGCATGTTATATACCCTCTCATTTGTTTGGTGTACTCTCCTCATTCTAGCAAAACAGTAGTCATACCATAACCAAACGATGCAACGATCTTCTACATATACGCCTCTTCCCCCTTGTCACTTCCTCCTAGGGTCTTTGTCCCCAGCCTCTAAACATGCAATCATCGTTATGAGACAGGCTGCGCTTGCACAATAGCAGAGTCGACCTTAACCATCCTCCTTCATCCCGTTCCACAACATCGCTTATGCCTGCAATCAACACGGAATTTGCCTGAATGATATGCGACTGGACACGACTTGCGCGGACAAGTGTACCGCCTTCTGAGAGCAAGTATCCCATACAATTGTCGAAGAAGGTCGCTAATACTTGCGAGGTTGGGATGGTTATCGTACATGAGATTGCGATCATCAGTCGTTGATTCGGTGCGACTTCTCGAATCCTGCTCCCCACAGCACTGTCAGGTGACACACCAGTGTTCGCGTTGATAACCCCGATGAGCGTCCTTTCGACTGCGCAGTAGCTGTGCAAGTTGTTTGGTAGCGATAACAACCTACGGTCCTAGGTCGCGTCTCAGCAAAACGCGGTTTCCTACTGCCGAGACGCTTGTGCTGGCGTGTTCAGAGCGACCACGAACGGTTCGTCGTCACCTTGACGGGTGTGCTATCTTGAGAGCTGCCAGCACGGAAAAAAAAAGCAATCCACGCGTATGTTTCCACAGCCAGTGTGTTGTCCATGGACATTGACATCGAACTTTCGAGTCTTGCACAGCGTGCCCAATGACATCATGCCATTTTTAGATTAGGGGCCCGCAAACTTGTCGCACTATCGAAAGCCTCAACAAACATGCGCTCCACAAACGCCTTCTAACACGAAACACACCACACGAGGTTGAGGTGTTTTTCCCATCATGCATACCGTCGCTAGGTGCAACGCAGGTGCCACTATTTTTGGAACTGGGCTTGCGCACTCACCACGACGGTCATGCCGACCGGATTCGCATTTGCGAACAGAACCTGATGTAATGTGGCGCTCGATTAAACTGCGAAGCCCACGTTACGTCAACTGCCAGCCTCGTAGGCCACGCTGCTTGTGGCGTAAGCGGGTGTGGCGTGCGGCTCCGGCACCCTGCATACCAAAGTTGAGGCTCAGCTTCGCGGACCCAAAAATGTCACCGCTCGCAGGTGGTTCCTGCATCACTAATGTCAAGGTGAATTCCACGTCAATGTGCTGGCTCTTCACAGGAGCAGTTGCGGTGAACGAATTCACGATCACAGACGTCTCAGTCAATGCAGAGCTCACCTGGGCAACGTGCCGACATGCGAAAACGAGAACAATGCATCAAGCCGCAATATCCATCACAGCATGCGCAACTGCAGTATACGAGGTACCTGCCTTGTTGTTCGACGATCAATGCCACTTACATCACAGCAGTTGTTAGCGGTCAAGGGGTCCACACGTTAGGCTCGGAGATTTGTGCCTACGCCGGTGCACGCCCGTCCGGGGGGCAACATCATTGCCCGAATGCAACCCACCACGGTGAGAAATACGAGGAGGTATGACCGAATCCATGAGCATTGTTGGTTGTTGCTCGAGCGCTCGACTAAGTGACGTTGAGATGGTAATGAAGATCTTCGCAGAGATATAAGTACGACTCCAGCCACCATATCTTGTATCCTTCAACCAAGCAGTCAATTTTCAAACACCTCACCTATCAATACCACCAAACCTCTCAAATCAGTCAAAATGCAGTTCTTCACCCTCGCCGCTCTCTTCGGTGCCGCCGCCATGGCCGCACCCGCTGCCCAGACTCCCGACTGCCCTAACCCGGCTCACTGCCAGGGCCCACCAGACGTCAACAGCTACGAGAACGTCAACTTCAAGGACTACACCATCCGCAAGAACAACGGCACCCTCCAGTCCGTCTCATTCAAGATTGACGGCCGCAACGCCACCGACCTTTCCTGCGTCGGCGGACCCTACCCTACTCTCCCCGCTCCTATCGTCAACTGCGGCGACAGCAAGTACCGTTTCGCCATGACCAAGGACATCAACGGCGACTACCCCATCACTCTCTACCACGAGCTTGGCACTGCGTACGTACATCAAATGAGACAGACTTTGGACAATAGACTAACATATGCGAACAGTGTCGGCTTCTGGGGTCAGGGCGTTGTTCCCACCTACTGCCACGCCGGTGGTAACGGTCCTAACGACTTCGTCTGCTCGCAGGTTGCCCAGTACACCTTGGTCATTGCTGCCTCTGGTTAAACATCGAATGAAACGATGACCGGGGTTTCTTTGTACATACATACACTTCACAAGTAATATAATACCAATCTGTACATTCATCAAACATTACGGGCTTAGTTGTGCAAAGCCGAACTTGCATTTGTGTGTGTGATGTCGTGGTTGTCGACAAGGCGAATAGCCACGGCATACGGAAGACTTGATCATGAGGAAATTTTTACGATGTCGTGTGGAGGAGAGGTAGCTTGTATCATTTATTGTGTGACTCAACGCTATCACGAGTGCGGGTGAAGAATACTGTAACCGTTACAAGCTGCATTCATTGATTGACTCCTTCACAGGCCCATCAGGTTGAAGATGTCTTGTGACCAGCGCGCAGAATGACACACCCACAGTGACCGACTTGATTGACGGGTCCACAACTTCAAGCGTCCAGCATGTCGAACATGTATCGCAACTCGACACTTCATCGGAGGCTTCCGCCCTCAAAAGCCATATCCCACGCTCCTACTATCCATAAATCCCTTCTCCACAAACGAGAAACAATAACTGTACGAACACAGAATGAACAGTAGCAATTTCATCATCCTCCTAACGGCCACCTTTCCCGCCCTAGCCATATCTTCCTTTCTCTTCTCTTTAGCGACATACTTCCGGGCCCCTGAAGCACATCCGGAGACTCAAGATCGAGTGGACAACCTCGAAGATCTTGAGGATATTGTACCATCGCTCGTTGAAGAAGTCAGAGCTTTGAGAAGGATGGTTGATCGAGAAAGGCAGAGAACGAGGAGGCTGGAAAACGAAGTAAGAGATATGGGAAGGCGACAGCAAGGATACGAAGAGCTAGCAGATGAGGCTGGCGATGAAGCCGAAATGGATGATGATGGAGACGGAGAAGTGCAGAAGCGCCAAGAGGGGGAAACACCTGTACGAAAGCCGTTCGATGTCGACGAGTTTTTGGAAGAGCAGCGGGCCCGAGAGCTGGCTTGCCGTATGATACAGAGGTCGATGATAAACAGGACCCGTTGCTCCGGTGGATATTCCACCGACGGCATCCTCGATGGGCCGCAAAATATTTCAAACGTGTACGGCATACGGGGCGGAGAAGTCACTATACTGGACGATGAGGAAGCACTGGAAGCAGCTGCGGCCAGTGCTTTACCACCCAGCCCTGAAGAAGATTCAACGTCATCGAGAGATGAACCGCGCATACTTACACAAGCCGTACGCGCCGGTGGAAACGTAGAGACTCGCGCTAGAATGCTTGTCGAGGAAGACACGCCCACGCTCCCGACGAATGGCGACAGCCCTACTCCCACAACGCATGGACATCTTCGAATACCTCGTCTTGATTCCACCAACTACGACATCTTTACCATCACATCCTCCCCCATACGTCAGAGATTGAATAATCTCTACCCCTCCCCACGCGGCCCCCGTCCCACAAGGATAGTCATTCGAAATGATCCTGGAGGCTTGTGGCGCCGGACTACCTTAACGAATGTTCTGACTGATATAACGCCACAACTAGGACTGAGAACCATGCGCACTATCATCGAGGAATATGAAAGATCGTTCTTGGATAATGCTTCGAGGCGTGAAGCAACGACGGATGGACATGCCGCACCCCGTGACGGTTGGTATGAGACTGAGCCGACTCGTTTAACGACCAACATGCCCAGTGGGGAAAGGCACGCTCATCAGCCCAACGGCTACACTAACGGCTATACCCATACTCCCTCTACCAATGGTAACATCCAGTACCCTTCACTCGCAAACGGTCATGTACACAACCATCTTCCTTCCAATGACAATCGTTTCTATGGCTACATCTACGAACCCACAAATGACGGCTCTCATGAAGAGGACTACGCCGACGCACCAGAAATTATCCGGCCACTCCTCGTCGTTCTGTATGGTTTGAGACCTTCCATCGGCTCTAGGGTCATCAGGGATATCATAGTTAGATACACCATAGCGATGGGTCTGGGTTACACTGACCCGAACAATCACCGTCGTACGTTGTTGACTACGGCGGCTGTTCACCTTGAGCGTGTAAACGGGTTTGTCGATCACGAAGGCGTGGAAGATCTGAGTGAAGATGTGTGGATTCGTGAGCCTGATAGCGAGTATCGAACTGGCGATAGTCGCGGAAGCGGAAGAAGCACCAACTACAACAGAAACGGGACTACAAACACCTTCCACATCAACGCCGGCATCGTAACGCCAAACAACACCAGTGCCAATGGCGCTTCCCTCACAAATGGCCGACGCCACACCTCCAACGCATACATTCAGCCCCCATCCTCAGAGCGGCTTACCGCAGACCCAGAAGACATCCGTCCGCGCCCCCGTCTCTCCACCCCCGAGCTCAACGAAGCGATTGGAGACTGGGGCTCCGTATCGTACACTCTCGACGGCCCTGTTCTACGCCTCCGCGCGATCCGCGCCGAAGGCGGGTTAGATGAAGAAATCCCTCTCCGTACGCACCAGGCAACGGAGGCTAGGACGAACGGGTACGCGACGGCAACCCAAATCATCCCCCCAAGTATCTATCTCAGAAATGACACGAGAAATTCATCGGAGTCTTCAACGCGCTCTTCTCGGAGCGCATCCTTAAGCGGAACCACGCTCGTCAACTCCGCCGTCGGAAGTACAAACGACGACACTGTTCCCACTTCCAACCCGCCTACGAACGGTGAGCTATCAGAGAGTGTAGAGCTCCACCGTAACGGCGCTTACGAAACCCCTACTGCAACGCTTAGGCGGCGTCGCGATGCGAGGGACATGAGGAGAGCCGCTAGGGAGAATTTGCTAGTGGAGAGGGGGGGTGTGGAAGAGGAAAGTGCGGGGAGTAGCGAAGGGGGAAGTGAAGATAGTATGGATGCGGAGATCGCGGAAGTGGAGGAGATGTGGCGGGAGATTCGTAGACAGAGGGGGACTATGGAGGAGGAGATGATGAGGCATGTGGCGGCGAGGGATCGTGCGGCGCAGGCGAGGCAGACGAACGGTGTGGGGACGAATGGGGTTGAGAGTGAAGAGGGTGATGAGGCTTCTGAGGGTTCTGGGTCTGAGGCGAGGGAAAGGAGGCTTGATAGCGAGTAAGCGTCTGAACGACGAGCTGCACTATTGTACGCTCAACGTTTCGGAAGGTATAGTTAAAGTCGCATGCCCTTGCATTCTGTAGTATGCTACCAACTATTCTACACTCCAATAAATCCATACACAACCTATGACATCTTTAACAAAGCTCAGACATCGTATGACATTAGCACTTCGCCGAACATTCTTGATAAATCATGCTGGTGGCTATTCCTCGTACTTTCCCATACTCTTGTAATCGTAAAAGAACTGTAAAACCTGAGACAAGCTATCTGCTGATAATATTGATCGTGCGCCGAGAGGTTGCTGAGACGTTCTTAGCCGCTCCGTCGTCGATGTACCACAGGTCGACGTCGAGTGTAGAACTCGATGGTGGCCTAAAAGTCGATGTATGGAGTCAGTAAATGCTTCACAATAGTCTGTACACGGATATTACTAACAGTGCCTTGCTGAACGCCTTCCTGAAAAGCGGTCTCAACATCAGGGTCCAGATGAGCTTGCGACACGAGAGACACGGCAAACGCTTTGGCCATCATCATAGACATGCGAGGTGTATCGTTTGTGACGTGCTTCAGCTGGAACGAATCCACCAACGATGAGACTAGTCCTTGAATGTGCGCAAGGCTGACGCCGACACGGTGCATCTTGAAGGCCCGGCATACTACAGCCATAGCTCGTGCCGTGCGGATGTTCATGAAGGTGTTCCTGTCGCGCAAGAGTGAGGAGACGTATTGTGTCTTTCGACCTGATTGTATGTCCCGCAAGTTGAGGATATCGTCGCAAGCTTGGTTGTGGCGTGACAAAACAGTAAGGTCGGAAAGCGGGAAGTGTGACAGCACAGCTGCAGCTGGCACGGAAGCCCAAACCATGCGCTCTGGTACATATTAGTATAGCCGCAGTATAGGACTTTTCGGAAGCTCACCTGCAAGGCCCTTGTATCTTGCCCACGGAGCCTGGCCTTCCGCTTTCAACATCCGCATCACGTCAGCAGCTGGCAGTGTTTTGTGTGGTTCTGCGAGCAGTGGATGATCGAGTGCAACTAAAGAACACCACCGTAGTTAGCATGAGACCAAGACGTTACTTTATGTGGGACTTCAACGTACTGACGGCGATTCTGGGCTCAAACATTGTTGAGGCCTTGACCAGTGCCTGCAAGAGACTCGTAGATACTGAAACAAAGGCCGATGCGCCGCCGCTCATTGACAAATGGAGATTCGTCAAGAGCATGATAGCCTGTTGACCTTGTCCATCTGGAGAGAAAGGCGGCAGGAACTCGCCCCTCCAAATTGAGAAGACTTGGCTCACGAAGCCTGTCTCGTCGTCGAACATGGTCCGGCTGTTGGCATCCCAAACGCGAAATCCAATCGTATTCCTGCCGGGTGGAGTCCGGAGTGTTGGCTGTGTAGGTGTGATGGGCGGTGTATGATAACCGTCAACGTCTGACCATGTTTCCTCATTATCTTGCTCAGCTAATGTCATCCCGCCGAGCTGTAGATCCTGCAGTGGTAAATCTTCCCGAGCTGGCGTGAAAATGGCGCGTGCTCTCTCCTTCTCCCTCTTCAGCGCACGTCTAACCAAGGATTTGTAATGTTTCCTCGTCTTGGGAGACTTTGCAGTTCTCGCCAAGCCAGACTCAATTTTCACCTCGTGTGTGCGTCTTGATAATTCGATGCCAGAATCCAAGGCAGTGTCCTCGATAATTGCGTGGATCTCGTCGTACTTGTCTTCCGGGTCGTGGAATGGGACTCTCATCACACGATCGAACTCGGGGTATGCGCGGCCACCATACAAGATTAGATGGCTCTCGAATTGGTATCGAATGACATTGAGCCTGAGGTTGAGGCCGGTGATAGCATTGAAGACCTTCGGAATGGTTGCCACATATGTGTCTTCGTACCATCGATAGAGGATGGTCAATAGTTCTCGTTCGTCTTCATGCCAGTGGTGGGGAGGGTCTCGTTCAAGTCTTCGCAGTGCTGCCAGCGAAGTGAAGTCGCTAGGCTCAGAGACTTGTTGTACAATGTCATTGGTGTGGCGAAAGGCTGGCATACCGAAGTCCAGAGTCCTTCGTACTTGTGGCGTGGGTACGGTATTGCCAACGTTGAAGTGGTGATTCGTCCTTGCAGGACTGCAAAGCATAACAGGAAGATCTCTTTCTTCGTCCGACGGGCAAGGCGTCGATAATGGTAGTGTAGCTTGAGAATCGTACGAAGAACAACGCTGCTTGGATATATTCGAAGCGGAGGTACCGACCGTTGACGACACAACTGCAGTGATGTCTTCGCCAGGCTCGCTACTGATATATGGCTCGAAAACATCTTCGATCGAAGGAAGCACCGAGTATTGCTCGTTACCATCGTAGCTGCTTGTTAAGCACGCTGTGGAGTTGTCAATGCCTGCTTCATAAAGAAAGAACAGAAAGATGTCTGGTAACCACTTACCTTGAATGTCGGCTTCGGTTACTTCATGTAATTGCTGCGGCATCTGCGACTGGTGCGGAGCTGGAGGTGTCGCTGCCACCGCCGGTTCCCACAACATCACGCGGGCATCTGCTGCTCTCCAAACGTGTTTCGTCATTGCGATGTAGTATGTATCCGCTGCTTCGGATGCAATGAATGGTAGATGAAACAGCGAAGGTCGTAGTCGGCTGAAATTGGAAGAGAGAGGATGTTATGCGGTTTGAAGAGTTTTCAACCCACCAGGTATCCAGTCCGAGGCGCGTCGGACTCAAGTCGCGTCTACGCGCCACAGAAGCTTGTCGCTGCGCGTCCGACGTGTCATGAGCGCGGTTTCGCGTGGTGAGGTGAAAGAGGCGGCTCCGTGCGGCGGTCCCCAGGACAGTGAGCCAGCGCGCCCGCATACATCAAGGTAATAGTCGAGCGTACTGAAGAAGTTGTTCTTGAGTGTTTCAGAGCTCATTTAGTATGGCGGAGTGGGCGGGTAGAGCTCAGGTCGATGTAGTAGCTGAGTATGGGGTTTGGTCGTTTTGCTTCATCGTTAGCAGTGAGGCTTGCCGGCATACTCTTTATTATATCCTCGCTTGTCAGTACAGCGTTAGAGATTGCATGCGAGAATCAGAACTCGGTGAGTGTGGTCTGTTCAAGAATGTATAAGAGAAAGACGGGTGAATATCGACGCCTGCCGTGTGGTGGGAGCCAGACCAGTGATAGCATCTACCTTCCAATCATGCCCCACTTTTACTCTTCGGCATCATCGGCGCAATAACAGGTGATAGACAAGAAGCAGAAAGTGAAGATACCTATAACGATTCAATCAATTGAAAAGCAGATTCCTTCCCACGCTACGTTACATTCATTACTGGCGTCGAAGAGCTGATAAAAAAAAATGATAGAAAAGCAGAATGCAAAGCGCACAACTTTTGGTGCAAACAGAAGACTTTGGACGTAAACCATCCCTCTCGAACAAGTGGTATGCGAAAGTGTCGTTCGCTGCGCCGGCGCTATGCTTTGACAGTCAAAGTACGGATTCAAGACAGATAGCCGAAAAGATTGGAGTTCCTGATCCTGTTGCCGCATGATTCGTCCGACCATGCCAAAGAAGCGAATGCGAGCAATCGACTAGTCCGGTCCAGAAAAACCTGCAACGATACGGCACAGTCTGCGTTCGCACGACTGACGAAGATGGGGTGGAAGTGACCAGGTGACGGGTTGTTGGGTTGTCGCATAAGCGCCCGTCAATGGTGCTGTGGCTGCTGCTCCACATGCATATGCGGTCCGTAGACCGCATACGGGATCAAAAACGTGATCGCGCCTGCATATAATAATTCCAGGGCTGCAACACGGTTCGATGGATAATTGCTTTTCTTCTTACGCCCGCCTCACGCAACGCAACCCAACAGATGTTGTTGCGCCTTTATTACGCATAGCTTCGCTTCCTTTTCTGGTGGTTTCTTCGGCCGCTCATTTGTGGCCATGCTGCTCGGTGCAGACCTTCCTTACGACCCACTTTTCCCAGAACTTGCGCTGCTGATTGGTGACCATGATTCCGTCGTCGTCTCCTAAGACGTCGACGCCATCCATGTGTCCGTTGCAGTTGCACCATGTAATCGAGGCTGGGGTATCGGGCATAGGCGGGAAGGAAAGGGTGCCTGTAGAGGTCAGTATATGTCACACGCACTTCGTAAAGCCAGAACTTACCACCCTGTTCAGGCTCGTCGGTCTCTGCGTCAGATTCCGTGTCAGCTATTGAACTGCCATCAGCGTCATTCCCGTTAGACTGATCGTCATGTTCGTGTTCGTATTCGTAATCGCTTTCGTCGCTACTGTCGCTTCCAAGAGGGTCGTCTTCTGGTACTTCGGCTCCCATAACGAACTGCTCGTCGAAGTGCCTAAAGATTGATGTACAAAGTCAGTAAAAGTCTCACAACCGTTTGTACACGGATATTACTTGCTTCTCATATCCAATCCGCCTAAGAGAAATCCAGTCAAGCCTTGTGAGCTCATCGCGTAGACAGGGAAGCACGTCTTTCCACATGCTTCCCTCTTTCAAGAGTACATCACGCAGACGCAAACCACGTAATGTATCTCTGTGTCGCCGGGCAATCCCCAGAATTTCATCTGCGTTGAGACGCCAGGCTTGGATCCCAAAAGCTGCAAAGACGGAGATATCAGGTTAGTGTATGTCTCATGATGCAGAGACGCAAAACGTACCCTGCAGCTTTTCCCACTTCACGTTGTGGAAAAGCTCTTCTAGCCGCAATGTGAGTGGTCGGTATGAAGGAAAGCCAATATGCACGGCTTCAATATTCTTAGCCGCAGTAAACAATGCCTTGGACAGGGAGGTGAGATGTCGCATCCGAACGTCTAGGTCCGTGCTGTCATCGAAATGTAGCTCTAGACAGGTCAGGCGTTCGGCAAGGATTCCCAGGGTTGATGGCGGATTGCTAGCGGCACCTAGTACGCTCTGCGGGCTTAGCATGGGGGATGAGAATCGCGAACATGGCGATTCGGACTCAAGGAGGGCCTGAAGACCGAGGTCGAAGTTAGTAAATGTCTCCTATCAATCCGTACACGGATATTACTTGCTTGACCGATTGTTTTCGCGCTATGCAAGCATGCCGGTGGCCATGTCGGTACTAGACCGTTCAACTCGTTGTGACCCCGCATGTACGTGATTAACACGGCATCTTCCTGGTCCTGCAGGCGTAGGATCTGGATATGCTGGAGTGAAGTGAATCGCTGAAGCGCGAAATGCAGGATATGTGCATCTTTCCTGCTGTTCAGAAGGCTGGTTTGCTCGTTCACCTTTTTCTGGAATTTTTCGATATCAGGGAAGCTGAAACTCTCGGGCCGTGTATGGAGGAGCTCCTGTATGCGCTCTCGTCCTTGACCGTAGAAAAATGGCACCATGTAACTGAACTTCTTCACACGGCCGGCAATGTGAGGCTGGCCAGCTATTCTCTCTAATCTTTCGAGTCCCTTTTGCGAGAAGCGTGTCGTAACGCGCGAGAACTGATGGATGACACCCTGCAGAGGCTCAGTACATGTCTCACGTGCATTTCGTACAGCCGTACTCACCAAATTGCTGAATCTTCTGCAAGTCAATCTACAAAGGTGAGGATACGAAGTCAGTGTGTGTCTCACATGCATTCCGTGCGGCTATACCACTTACCTAAAGCTCGCAATCGTCTCGGCATCGTCGGGCTCAGGTGGGAGGGGCAGCTTGAAAGATTCCTGCGACAGGTATGCGCGGCGCTCCAGACTTATTGGTTTTTCTGGTTCGCTCGCAACATATTCGAGGATGATGCGAAGAAGCTCGTCGGCGAGATCGAGGATACCCATTTTAAGTGGTCACATTCATGACGACCGCTCCGAAGAAGCTCTGCTCAGGAAGCTTCCCAGCGCGATTTAGGAGCGCACCGCACAGCGGATATACTCTCAATGCAGGGTAGCAGCGTTCGGGCCGGATCGGGAGGAGGGAATGGCAGGTGGTAGTGAGCGTAGCGACAGCGGGACAGTCGAGTCAACTGACAACGTGGTGTTATCCGACAGCCGGCACCGATCTATGGGATAGCAAGCGAAGGACAGCCAGAGGGGCGTGGTCGGAGAAAGAAATGCATGACCTCTCTGCCAGCAGTCAGCTAAGCGTAGAGTTGCGAAGACGACCTGGGACTGGACACGCCGCCTGCAACTTGCAGCGTGCACCCCGGTACGCCCTCGCCCAAACCGCGATGCATTAAACTGCAACGGGCATAACGTCTCACATGATCACTAGCGTCTGCATTTACATAAGCAGGACGGTAAACATGCATGGCTCCTCCCGCGAAGAAGAGTCGAATGGCCGCCGTGGACTACTGCACAAATTCGCTAGGGCTGGCTGTTACGCCTGCGCTGATTCGAGGCCCGAAGGCCTGCTCCCCACAGCCCACTACACGAATTTCCATCCATGGATGGTCTCGATGCGTTGCCAACGAAGCATGCATCTGGAGGTCGGCTGATTGGCGTCACAAGCGCTTCAGATGCGTCATCCGGCCGATTCCACTGCCGTGTACTTGGGATGGCGCAAACGCCATTGAAGCGATGGGCATCTCATGACGACACGGAGCTTTAGGAGCCTCATAGTGGGCTGAAACGGGTGTCTGTATGTCTCGCAATGTGCGTACGCTGTTGCAGTGCGTCATCGGTCCTGTTCGGCAGGAGATGATAGCATGCAAGTTCCATTACAGCACACGAAGTACGGCGTGCAATATGTAAATAGTATACAAGCATCTGTGTAGGCGCAAGCGACCCGAATTCGGTCATCGCACAAATTCGGGACGGAGAGGACATGGCCGCAATCCCGCTCGTACATGCGCCGATGACGATGCATGCGTGGAACTGCCGGTCAGATCGACGTGTTGCTTCACAAGCCTATACTCGCCCTGGTAACGTCATGCGGACCTGCGCGGTCGTGTAGCTATGGCGCACGCAGCTGTCGTAGATCGTCGCACAGAAAATGACACTAGATGACCTCCTGCCTCGTCGACTTGTCGACCTCTCGTGCCGACGAAAACTCTACTCACATATCGCCTGGGCCTGTTCCAGCACGGCAAACACCCAAAGACGTGTCTAGCCATCAACCCGCCCGGCCACGCCTATCGGGTCACGCTTTCGCTCTGGATTGAACACGTTCGCTTCGTTTTCGACGAATCTCGGTGCTGCTCAGCTTGCTTTGGAAGGTTTCATCGATGCTGTCTTCTTCGCTGGCATCGAGAACAGCAACCTCGAAAACCTCAAGGGGGTCCCATCCCTGCTCGCTGCGCTTGTTGTTCACTGCAGCACCTCCGCTCCTTGTCTCGAGCGACAGCACCAAGGCAGAGATGTCTTTGTCAGTGATGGTTGGGCCGAAAGGATCCCAAATCTCAACATATTTGATAGTGAGCCCGAAGGGATAGCTGACGTGGACGGCATGTCCGTTCGGGCCGGGTTCTTGGATCTCTTCAACACGGATGCGCTCGTCATCTGGTGGCCCAAAGTAGAGGAGAG